TATTGGCACCACAATCGATACTGTTCCCGCCTAGGTAAGGTGGTCGGCAATATGCTCTGGGGAGGTCCACCTGTCAATCAAATGCAGGGTCCCGCACGTAGCTACCCAACAAACTAATTGCATTAGAAGCCTTGACCAATCGATGAGTTTGTACTTTAGAAGATTAAGAGGTGAAGAAATGTTTCGGATTGGAAGGAAGCCGAAGGCGGTAGGATGAATGTTGCGCTATGGGTGATGAGGAAACGTAGCTATTGGGACGCGATGTAGGTCACCGGCATATTTGTTCCATAACATCTACATCAAGAAAGCTTTTAACCCATCAATCAATTAAGACTGATTTGTGTCTAAAAAAACTTTCCATTGCCATGTTTTCAGTGATTAACACATTATGTCTACATGCTATTCCTTTCATCGCCTAATGGCGACTACCAACTTAAAAGTAGTAGAAAAGGGTCGAGTACGGTGCCGTGGGGAACACCTTTTTGACATATCGTCTAGACCTGCGCATCTAAACAAATTAAGTACAGGCACAGCTTAAGGTACATGTCTGGACATGTATATGTACTTAAATTTGGCCAATCAATATGTGAGTTACATATGAAGTCAACTGTCATTATAGTCTGAGGTAAATTGTTGTCTCTGCTTGAGGGATTGCACGTTTTAAGTTTTCCTGATTTTGAAATACCGAATTGTCAAAATTACCATCTTAGGGATGCAATTTACCTATTTCTAGTGTAATAAAACAATATTTTGTTCAGGTACAGGTACACCAGATCTGTACCTAAACATTTTCAAAGTAAATGTACAGCTACAGGTACAGGGGGAGTAGTCTATGTTCTGCTGCTATCTTGGAGAGTTCACAGTTATAGCAATAAACACCATGCACGCCCAGAGTATATTCTAATTGTAATGTTAATCCATCGTCCTTCTGTTTTCCAAACTTGACCTTTGAAACGTTGGCGCGACATTGACACTGGGGAATATGCAGATGAGCCAGACTGTCGCCAAACCCGCCATATAGGACGGAGTGATACCACATTACGGCCCCACTTACGTCGTTTGGTGTCCCGCAGTCCTCGTTCGTACGTATAACGGTGGATTAATAAACCATTCCCACATCATTTGCACATTTATGTGTCATTACATTTTGCCGGCTGAGTAACAAGTTCGTTCGTTCCATCGTTGAGTGCCAGAAAAATAACAATATGAATGAAAACCAAGCAGATATCAGGAGGGAAAGACTTGCCGAATGGAACAAGAACTGACGCAATTCTTTACCGCAAGTAATACTCAAGCCACCCAATCAACTATTCCCATCATGGCCCCCGTCAACTTTTTAAAAGCTTTTCATAGTGGTTCTTGAATATCGTAATTTAACGATTCTGATAGAACTTGAGTGCGCCGCCATCTTGTCTGTATCTCTGTTTTGATTAAAAGAAGTAGTACCACTGGGGGAACCACATCTTGACAGCAATACAGTTTAATGTGCGATACGTTTGTGCATTGCGTAGACAGGTTTAATCATTTCTAACGTTACTCTAGGGTTTAGTATTGAAATGTGGCAACGAGATTGACCCAGATCTTCTCGCTCGAATAGAATAGTAAATCTGTTGATATCCTGTGTAAAATGCATATCCCGGAACTGGGACACAATTACAAGTCGAACATTTGTCATCTTTTGGCATATCAAAAGAACTGCGGAGAAACCCACGCCAGGGAGTCTACGCCTTTGGCGATAATCGTACCAGATGGCTGTTTGATATTAACGATCTGTCTTTCCAACCACGGGAGTTCCTTTTATCTGTAACTTCAGCAGCTCTGAGCTATAAACAAAAACGTACCATATGCGTCATTTGTTGCCGAAAGTCAAACTGATTTATTAGAAACTACAAGTTTCCCTATTTGTCGATGAAGATTTAATTTTTTTGATTTGATGCAGATTGTGAACGTACCGCCAGAAGTCGCTGCTGCCCTGTTTCACTCTTATTAGAAAGCACGGCAACGGTACCGGTAACCTTCTGTAGCTATATTTGGTCGTATTGACTGTGATGAACTAATTCAGCTTACTCTAATAACAATCTATTGGGGAATTCTGTACTGTAAATGCAACCACTGCAGATGTAATTCATTTTATCGTACCTTATAGATTTGGTTGGCAAACCAAACAAGGAGGAGCTTAATGAAGACTGCGGGAGCAGTAACGTATATATTGCCTTGTTAAACTCACTTTATTACATCGTTTCCACACAGGGTTCCACAGCTGAAATGTTCTTGCTTTCATCTAAATCGGATCACATGGTGCTGAAACTAATTGGAAAGTAACGATTGATGGGTGGTAATTCTCACTGTACGGAATCCTATCTTTTAAGTACAGGCGAGGAATTTAAAAAAAAAACGGAATTTTTACGCATGCTTTTATATGTGTTTATGGAATGGATGTGTGTCTACATGGAGACAAAATCAAGTCTACAATTAGATGCTCTTCATGGGTAATAGCTGTTAGCATTGAAACATAATCAGTTAGCCTAATTCCTTAACGATTTAGAACGAACCCTTTTTATTATGTATTAAAGAAGCCATGTCCGTTCACGAAGCCCTTTTCTCACGGTCTGTCTGTCCCCAAACCGTCGCTAAACATCTAACTCACGCGCCTCGGACATTTCCTCTGCACAATTCTGGTGTGAAACGCATCGTTATGTGACAAATTATCCTTTCAGGCAGAATTTGGGCTAATAGCGACTTTAGGAAATGCTGGACGAGCAAATGAGCAAATAAATTAGTTATTTATCTACTTTCTTACACAGTAATATCCTAATGCTTAATTAAGCGTATCAAGAAAGGTGAATTAACATTCAAAAGATCGTAAATATTTCCCTTCGGTCGTCCTGTATCCTGTATCTTGTGTCTTTCGAGATTCTTGGTTCCTTTTTTAGTCTGTCTCTCAGTTCTTTTGCAAACAAGCAATGCCAGCAGGATGTTCATTTGACGATCCGCCGTCCGTGTTTGCTATGCCTTACTCTGTATGCCCTCCGTATTCTACACACAAATCGGGGAATTTTGCCGTCTTTAAGTGCTATGTCTAGTGCATCGTAATGTTGCCCCGGGCAAGCTTTAGTACACGTACCTGACTGTCTATGTTTATATCCGTTATTTCGCGCACCGTCAGACCAAATTCACAATCCAGCTTTAAAAGGTCGGCTGAAACTGGGTCTCGGCTACCCTCCGGCCGAATGAAGGCAATAACCTTAGCAACAAATAGGTTTCTGTGAAGTCCTTTAAGGAAGCTCGGGGCAGTATAATTGAAAGGTGATGGAGTGCCTGTCTGAGGCAGCTGCCCTTTGTATAGATCGGGGCACTCACTCAGTTTACGCTGATTGGCCGAACACCTTTTGATGAAGACCATGTCGTTTTACCGTCATAAAATGATCTTCAAATCCTTCCGGAGAATGGGACGTTTATTCGAAGCTGTAAACTGCAATTCAGCGGCTGTAGGTTACAGGATTCCGAGGTTTATAGTTAATTGAAAGATTCCTTTCTGGAGCACCTGTCACACAATCAGAACCTTCCCACGACCAACCAACCAAACATGGTTTGACCAAAGACCAAATTCAGGCCACACCTATCTCTCTTTTTAAATCGAATCAAATTTGATTTGAATTTGAGTCGAATTTGACGTCCCAACCACTGCTAACCTACTCCGAGTAGGTCTCCCAACCACCAGCCAATAATGACTAAGCCTCAAGTCCGCACCCGAATGTTTTAAACATTTTGTGAAATATTCGGCTGGCTCAGCCGAACAGTAGCTGACTTGGCCGAACACCAACCAACCACAGCCAACCTACAGACCTACTCCTAACGATGGTTGAGGTAGTATTCGGCAGTATTCGGGAGGCAATATTCAGCTATGTATGACAGGGGCTTAAGAGGACTGCATATTTTTTCCAGTCTGCAGACACAGGTGTGTAGATCCTTACGTCTCTCAGTGTAGGCGGATGATTTCTAACGCTTTAAACATCGATTTACCTACGCGAAACTAATTTTCTGCTCGCGTTCGTTCCGACATGTATAGACTCGCAATTTTACACCTGACTTGACTCGGCATTCCATAAGGCGATATAAAACATTCTGAATACAACTTTCAAGTCCTTAGATTTATTTACAAACCCCGCTGGTCGTATTTCAGACCCAGAGAATCGCACATGTGCGGTTTTGAACGCATTTAAATCCCGGTGGCACTTTATAGCACGTTCTGAAGCACCTGTCATCTCACAAAATGCTTTCTTGACAAATCTTGACGTCTAGAATTTCGATTGAAAATTCCCAGTACGCAAACTGCAGTATAGCCTATTGTAATAAAGGTATCAAGACAGTCATACACAATAACCACTTTTAGATGCCATAGATCCATCGAAAAAGTGTAGCAAGCCCTTGAAACTGCTGCATATGCGAATCTGCGGTATGCATAAAGTTGTCGGCCTTCTAGTCAGGTTATCCTTCAAACAGACGAAGTGGCTATGATTTGATAAGTTTACGAAAAAGATGCGTCATTCTGTTGCAATGAATGATCTGTCAAGTGCCGATACGGATGATTGACCTAGATCCGCCCTGATCTGTCCCAGGCAGCGGGAGCGATTGGTGTGTGTACCGCAGGGTTACTTACTCCGCCCCCTTCACCTGCTCGCCATCGCTCATTCTCCCCTTGTGCGCGTCATTCTCTCCGAAGATGCAATCAACCCCCTCTCGATCCGCCCTCCTCTATCGGACCGGGGGTACCCGTAATCTTTATTCCCGCCGTACCGCGCTGTATTCTAAACGTTACTTACGACCCATTAGAGATATCTACCACTGCAAAAACCTTTCTATATGTATGAAGTGTAATGTTACAAAAGGCGTGTAATGCGCATGCATTTGTGATGGTTTCGTGTATAGGTGCTCCTTCTATTTGCAGTTTAGTGGTCTTCCATTGTGAGCGTTTTTTTATTTCAGTTCTGAGTGTAAGATTGCCGTTCTGATGGGATTTCTGCGTTGTGGATTACAGGGGCGGTGAACATGACAACTGCAGGCCCGGGGAACATCACTACGGAGCCTACGGCGGAAGACGTGTGGGTTCCGGAGGAAGGCTGGCCGCCGACCGCTCTGGTGATGTGCGGTATATTCATAGGCGTCTTTATCCTGAGCACGGCCGTGAGCAAAAGCTGTCAATACGTTGTCAACCACACCAACCTCATTATTCCCAACCCGATAGAGAGCCCGGTCTCACCTCGGAGAGACGCCTCGGGGGACACGAGAGAATTCCTCGGGGACGTGAGACGGGATCCCGCGTCACGCATCCCGACCGGTAAGCCGGTACTTGTCGGCACCACGCCACACTATGACGTGATGGACGTACTGAGTATGCTGTACTCCATGGACGCCAACAGACACCACACAACCGTCCCCGGGAAAAATCTTCAACAAAACACCAAAGCCCCGGAACACGGGAGCAGGACCAAATACATCAACAGAGACAGAACAGATGGGCAGGGTGATAGTGGATTATCAGAAGGGGACGTTTTGGATGCCCAGGAAATGAAGGACTCGTGCAGTAGTACCGTACATATGCAGGAGCTTCCGCGATGTCCAGAAGTAGTAGTGCACTCACCCAGGGACAGTAATGTCTGACTAGGCAGGGTTAACAGGGTAAGGTAACATATATATCACCTCCATAGTTCAAGTTGTAGATTCTTTCGCTGTTCGTTTGTTTTCAATCAAAGTGGCATCCACATCTTAGTCTCTGCTTTTGAATTTTATTTTCTTCTTCGAACACATTTTTTTCTTTGTAAAATCATAAGATGACTTTCCTGCGGGAATTCAATTCCACCACCTCGTTCAGTAGTCGTACTGCATGCAGTTGTCATGAGATAATTGGAATTTCAACACCTCAGAATTGCGGTTTCCACTGCGTATTCATGTACATCAGGTCTGAGGAAACAGAGGAATACAAAACAAGCCAGGTAGAGGGAGGGGCACAATACCTGTAGTGCTGCCAGGAATTCTGATATATGTTAAGTACATAGACAGGGTTAGCGTGTGCCCAGTAGCCAAGTTTAGTCTAAGTATTCGTGTTTGACATAGTCAGAGATCGCTAAAAACCCCGGAGGGGGCATGTTTTGTTCTTGCGTACCGAAGGGTAAAAACCTAATTTGCAAATCGGCTTCAACACCCGCCCGTCGCCGCCTGGTATTCTACACACGTCGTTTAATTGTAGATGACAGCGTTGTAACTTTGATTACTGAACAAAATACCCCTAGTTTTAATTGGTAGTTGGCTGCCAAACGGATACAGTAGGTACCAGCCGAACGTGACCGAAGTACACAGTGACACGGTAACAGACATCGTTGTGTCATTTGGTCACATCGTATCCCGTTTGTTATTTCCCAAACAGTGCAAAATGGCTTAGGGCGTTTATGACGACGCACGAGCCTCTCTATCTCCAAAGCAATTAACCGGTAGTAACACTTGACTATGAAGCTAGTATTGAAAGTATTGGTGAGTGCACCGTGCTTAGACTTTGATACTAGGTTTAGAAGCAAGCAGTGATGTATGCATGCTCGACTTAAATTTGCTGACATCAGCAGAAACGACTCTGGAGACACTGCCACGCTCCGTAGAGCACTTGGGAATTCGTACTCGCCTCGAAGACGGCGATGCATCTTATAAGATACCTTCCAGGGACCTTTCATCCTGCTTTAAGAAGTACCGACGTGACTGCTTCGTTGTGTATATAAATAATAGAAGACGCACCATTCCATTCTTAGACGTTCTGGTGCGACCAATGGATCTAGGATCGCCCGTAACAAGATGCAAGTACGCGTTTGCTATGTCATAGGACTATATTTTTCTCTCCGAAGTCTACAAATTCTTATATATCTATATAAACATAGCAGATGTATGTACAACGTACGTGTCCAGTATGTCTTACATGAGGGCTATCTAGCAAGAATGTTCCTGAGTATAATTATGCAACAAGACGTCCTGATCACCATGCTTCTGACGACTTTGTCATTTTTTGTTCAAAATATTTTCTGGTGCCTCTTAGAAATATTAGGGTATTATTTCAGGGCTTTCATTGACTGAATCCAAGTAGACAACGAAGAGAGTCTATTGGTGATGTTTTATCTCGATGCCGCTGAAGCACATAGCCGAGGTTAATCTCCAAGCAGCAGATCTTTTGGTGGGTGTAAGACAGTATCAAATTGGTCAGTCTGTATCCATTCCCCACCAAAAGATCTGCTTGAAGATTAGGTGGAGGTAGGAGTATAGTAGGTCAGCAGTGTTGGGGGATCTGGTCCGACTGCTCCCAAACTTCAGCCAACCTATATGAATGGTTTATTCATTGTGCGAATACAAACTCATCGCAGCTTATTAGCTGAATTGCGAGTTCATGTACATATACAAATTTCACAAGTTGACATAAACAATCGCTCTAAAAGTTTACAAGCTGCGAACAGGTGACAATACATATTTAAAAGTTGACTTACATATTTAAAAGACGCAATGCATATATAAAAAGGTACAATTACATATTTAAAAGATATACATTAATTATCAAAGATACCAATTAATAATCTAAATGCCAAAATTATCTAAACTAAACCTTGGTTGGTTTGCAGTTGGGGGAAGGTTCTGAATGTGTGACAGTGGCTTTAGGAAACTCTGTAACTAAAACTACATATAACCCCATTTATATCAATAACATAATCCTTACTCCGACCATATCACTATCAACTCATCGTCCATCATGACCAATCATGCTTGATGTGATTAAAAGAGCAGTAAACACGGAGCCTGTGGACAGATGGTGTAATCTACACGTCACGCATACAGACCGATCGTGCGAGGTCACTTTACTGATGACTTTTGGCGATCACAAAGTTGGTGACCTATTGGGAAAGGAATAAAAGGTAGATCCAAAATCACTTGGAGAAGAACTTTGACAGATGACCCGGCGTCCATGAGATTATCCTGGCGATCAGTGAAGAAGGTCGCCAAGGACAGACCCAGATGGAAGGATAAAGTCATGGCTTTATGTCTCGCTAGGAACGAAGAGGATATGTAAGTTCTTTTTAATAAACCCATCCAAGCTTCGTCTTTGGAACGCTACATTTTAGTTGTTTCTTTGCTAAGGAATTTGTTGAAAATTACTTAATTACTTCAGCGCTATATATAGGGATTTGGGTAGCACAGTATTAAAGTTGAGATGAAGTTTTGCGAACGCTACTATCTGACATGGATTCTGTCCACGTTTTTTTCCATGAATTGGTTTTTATGTGGTTTCACTTACAGACGAGGACTCAGATGAGCTGTCCGATCCACTTAGTTAGACAAGACAGAGCGCGCGGTGTGGAGGGCAGCGGGGTCGGCTAAATATCAGACGAGCTGACCTGAATCTTTATTTAGTTAAGCCCCAGTCAAACATTCAGAATCTTACCCCGAACACCAGCCGACCAAGGTTGGCTGAAGTTTGAAGTCTGACCACCTTTCGGCCACACCTAACTCGAATCGAATTTTAGTTAAATTTGAGGCAATTATGACCCCCAACCACACTCCGACCACTTCGCACCAGTGCTGAGGTCACATTTCTAAGCCGGAGCCCGGCCGGGCTGTTTGCATAAACGAAAAATGAAAAAAAAAATCATAACAAGAATATATACAGATATTGCTCATGATGAATTTTTCAACTTTTTTGTGTTCAATTGTCTTCTGTACCATAGTTTTCGTTCCTGCTAACTGCCCGGCCGGGCCCCGGTTTGGAAATGTGACCTCAGCGTAAGCAATGGCCGAACCTCTCGTCCTCATCCGAATGTTTGAAACATTTTAAAGCACTCGACTGACGCTAGCGAGCGGTGATGGTTACCATTGGCCGCACGACTCAAGGTCAGCTGTAGCCGAGCGGACAGAGAAAGGGGTGTCAAAGGTCCGATTGGAACCAAATTGGGGTGCTGAAATGGCCGACTGTAGCAGCCGCTGGCGACTTATCGCCAATACTAACAGCCGTCTTCACCAAGGAAGTTCAGTCCTTACACATTCCGCCTGCGCCCGTGAAGCCCCATCTCCCGTATATCATGACACTTCCCCGACAGTTCGCAGTTTTTGTGCGCGATCACGTCTAATCCCCGCCGCTGGTGGAGGCGATACGGCTTCAACACCGCTTTACCGGCGCGGAAATGGACGGCGGGCTCCCAAAACCACTTCCAGGAAATCCGACAATTGCAGTTTAGGTAGGGCAAGATGACAGCTGCGGTGCTTCCAATACATTCAAGAAAATCGGGAGATAGAGATTCTTATTTTACTCACCGCCAGGCCACAGAGCGGAAAGAATGGGTCTGTGCTTATTGGAGTGGGCTAAAGCATCAGTACTTCAATTCCAAAGTCATTTACGTAAACAGTAAAGGAGTCCTAGAGGGGAAAACCCCGCCTACCCCTAGTCGCTATGCATTTTCTAAGGAAGAGAAATCTGATATAATTATGTATAGGAAATATGAACAGATGAATGACACAGTAGGGTTTTTATTTTATCATGTGCTGATGTAAACAATGGCCTGGGTTGTAACATTCCTGGATATGCATTATTAGTGCCATCATGCTCCCAATGTAGAAGCTGTAGGTTACTCTGTATGCCGTGTTGTCTATCTTGCTACAGGAAAAGGCCATTTGTAACGGGCATGGAGAGAGAGACCTTTGAAACACCATTAGCCAAACATGCTGTCTGCTGTAGACAAAGCTGGGGGTGGTGTAAGGGCATCCCTTGGAGGATAAGATGACTGTCGTGCGTCAAAAGATACATTCTCAACCTGACATTGAAGCCCCGAGTCTTCAGCAGACAAGTCAGCAACATGACGACAGGAGGATCAGGTGTTAAAGCTTGGGGGGATTATGAAGGGCTTTGTGGGACGTATTTTGGAATGCTGACGACATTCCCAAAAACTCAGAGCCGTCAGAGCCTCTAAAATGTTTTTCAAGTTTTATCAGCATCTGTTGATAGCCGGATGAGATGAGGATTTGGGAAAAGGACGGTCGACAGAGTTCATCATCCAGAATATCATTTCTTGTTTTCCATTCCTGATATTATTATGCATTGGTTGCATTTAACAGCTCAGCGCTAATGAAGTACATCGTGTAGATATCATTACTTATTTATCCTCTTTTCCTTTTGTGAGGTTTTTGAAAAAAAAGTCACTTGTATAAAATTAAAACTACAGAGCTGTTGTGTGCTTTTGGAAGTAAATGTAAACAAGAGAGACATCCGACGGATAATAGCCATAAAAGTAAAGCTGTAGTAAAATCTGTTTCGCTTGATTACATTTGCATCTAGCTAATAATGCAGAAGGAGTCCATTGAGACTGACTCGATGACTTAATGACGATGAATGCGTGCAATTAGAAAGCTTGTTCTTCCTGCAAGGCGTATCATAGTCTGTGTACCGCCGTCTGGCCGGGTTTACAGGCTGCATTATTGATCAGTAGTCATCACAGGAGCGTTCTGTTCCATCGACCCGTGTGATGTGGAGTGTGGAAATGTGGAGACTTTCCGACGAAACAACCGGACCAGAATGAAACATTTTAGCTTGCTGCGGTAAAGATCTTCTAGCTACAGACGAAAATGGTATCAAGAAAACCGTGCCTGGATCGATTAAGTGCTTCAAGAATGAATGTTTAACCATAACGTTGACACAATTATACGGTATGGCTCACTCTTTGAGTCAGATTTGACTGCCAACGTTAACCACGCCCCTATGCCCTGACCTACTCCCAAGCAGTATCCGACCTCGCTAAATACCAGCCACCCACAGGCGACCTTTCTACGTATACAGACCTCTCCTAACTATGTTAATAATGTTCAATATTGCAATCTGTTTTGTATTCAATATTGCAATCTGTATTTATATTGTAGTGTTTGGGAGGACAGCTTGTAAAGGTGTCAATGCACCTGTTTTGTCCCCCCTTCCACTTGTATAGTTGTACTTGTGATAAATTTAAATAAACAATCAACAATAAACAACTATGGGGAGTTCGGCAGTGTTCGGAAGGCCATATTCGGCTATATGTGTGACAGCGGCTTCAAACAGACATAGCGTTCAGAGACAGTAGTAAATGCGCGCGACTTCACCTTTCCTTCAGCACCAAGGACAGATGCCATCACAACACTCTGTATAAATACATTTCACATTCACCTGCTGTGTTTTAAGTTTTTACCACTCAACGGGTTTGGCAGTCACGGTTCGGGAGGTCATATTCGGCTATATGTGTGACAGCGGCTTCAAACAGACATAGCGTTTAGCGAAAATAGTAAATGCGCGCGACTTCACCCTCCCTTCAGCACCAAGGACAGATGCCAGCACAACACTCTGTATAAATACATTTCACATTCACCTGGTGTCTCCCAGGTTTCCACCAATCAGCCTGACGTGCATAACGGCCGCTACATGGAGCACCACGGCGGTCGGTTGCTAGGCTAAAAGTCGCATTACTAGGGAGGTATCGGGTTACAGAACATGTTCGAACGTGGCCGCGCGGGAGTCCCAGGCCGGCCCGGGGGCAACGGGTAAAATTTGAAAATAAACAAAAGTAATTGGAGAGTAAATACTCGTCAAAATAAAATGTAATAAGTGATTTTGTTTACCTCAAATGTTATTCTTGCACTGCCTTTGCTCCACTTTGTGTACATTTGCTTCCAAATGAGATCAATTTCGGATTTCAAAAAGGGTTCACGAGAACCAAACAACTGATTTTAAGAGGCCCCGAAAATTAAAAATAAGGTTAGATTTTTGGATTTTTAGAAATATTACAGTAAATTTAAACTTTCTGTCTTAGGATTTTTTTATTTTTTAACTAAAACTCGACTTACAGTCAAAAGAAGAGCTAAAAACGCAGTGTTTTAACTTTAAATACCGATAATTCATAATCGCGGCCATATATAAAAAATCCCTAAGACAGAAATCTGCGGAAATCGCTCCTCTTCCAAACAAGACCTCAATGAGGTAATTTGAGCGATTTTTGGGAGTGGTTAAAATACCATGTTTGCACGCATGCTGTGCCACTTGGATATGGGGACCTGGATTTTATAACAGCGTCAACAAGAATTCTGACCTACAAGGTCACCTACGATGACGGCAGTAGCTTCGTTACATGTTACATATCCACAATAAAATCACGGCATAGATGTAATGTTTTGAAAACGGTTCATATTTGTGGAAAGGTGGATTTTTCCTGTTCCGTGGTTCCCAAGTAAAAAAGGGCATGAAGTAGCCGGTTGTAGCGGCTTTACTGTAATGACCGCGGGTAACCCCAGATCGAACGCCCGCTCTATTCGAATGACGTCATATCGAACAAGATTCGCGGGTTCGGGGGATTCGATCTCCATAGTAGCGGAGTGGGACTTTTGGGCCCAAATCTGACCATCGTGCACCCCTACTTAACGGTCTTTTCTTCTCGGCGCCAATTTTATGAAGAGGTTTATGGATTACTTACAGGTCAGATGGGGACGAAACGCACGCAGGATGTCAACTGGATGTTCTGCCATCGCTGCTCCATAGATCAACGTTCCTATATATTGTACTGATCGGTAGAACTAACACTACCACATAATCAGTGCATTTTGAGGGGCATTATTATTTGTTATATTATTCAATTCATGCAACATTTTTACACCAAAAATTGAAAATATGATCGAAACAAATATTCATGTGATTGTAATTTACTTCCACTTTTCAACATACTTGTGCAATCATGCAACACTCAGTTTGTGGCACCACTACAGAATACCAGAATCCATATGTTTCCTGCTTTTTAACTCACTCGTGAGGCGTCATACGAGTATTTAGGCACCTCCGATCCACTTCCTGATGAACGACACTGATTTGCAATTCCAGTGTTGACTCAGCTTACTTTGAAAAGAAATGGCCAGAAAATCACTTTTTGTATCGTCCTGATGTTACATAATACGGCTTTAACAAGCCATTATGAACACTGAATACTGTTTGCACCGCCTTCGTTAAGACCCTTTCATGCCGACTAGGGTTTTCCAGGTAGGCACGTCTTATAAATCATCTCATATTTCCTCTTGTTAGTCCCTCACAAAATCAATAACTCTATATCACAAGGTGATTCCAATATGTCAAGGGTATCAACGTCCCTGACCCGACCAGGTCTAAATTCGTAAGGTGGGGTAAGTCATTGATTTTTTTTTTCTACTTGAGATCGATCGCAAACTGGTCTGAGCATCGCTTTCCAGGGCTCCAAGGAGTCTTGTCATTCCTCGGGAGTCTTGTGCTGATGTTTGGTACGTGCGGCCATGTTTGTAAGGCCATGTTGATTTGATGATACGGATGACATCCACGCGCTTGAATTTTCGGCCGTTTCCAAAAATAAAAAGGGAAATCGTAGATTTCAAACCTCCGGGTTTTTTTTTCTATTGGTTTAGGTTATTTGTTTGTGTGTAGTATGAAAGTTATGTGCGTAATATGTTTGTATGCCGGTTTGATGGCTACTGACGGTTGGTTCGGTATGGACTGTTGATTAACGTGTCTCAGTCTGACAGCCTGCACCGTCACCCGCGCCATTACCCCCGCCGTCATCCCGCGCCGTCATTGCTGCGCCGTCACCCAAAATTTTTATCGGAACCAGACACCCCTCTGTTTGACCCCTTTTGAATGCTAAGACCCAAAACTGCAACCTCCCCATTCCTTAACAACATGGTAAATTCCATTTTCAGCATAACGGGGGTGTCCGGAGCACTTAAAAACCTTTTATTTCGACGCCCATAAACACATATGCAATTAAACAAAAACGTTCTGCATCATCTGCAGTCCAATAGCAATACATATACCGAACAACAGACCAATCCGTCCAGCCGATCGCGAGAAACAGCTGCTGACAGAAATGTTTCGAACAATAGTAAAACCTCCTCGCGGAAGGATATCTCCTTCCCCGGAGGTAAAAAGGTTTTAACCATACTGTAAATCGTACATAACAGTTGCAAAATGAGCAAATATATATATACCGTAACTTGCAAACAATATATTGGAAAACGATACCAATGTCGTAGAATACTAAAATCAAACGAAAAAGACGAAAATCTAATTAAATAAAAGTGGGCATCAAAGGAAAGACAAAGAAGAAGGGTTGATGTGCAGACGTTTTACATGTATAACGAATATAGTTAAAGGTATGCCCGGGGAGCCAGGTCGGTTGTGACCTGGCTCCAGACCTCCTTCTAACCATGGTTGGGGGAGCTCGCCAGTGTTCAGTAATCAGGAGCATATTCGGCAGCCCCATGACCCGAGGTAACCCTTCGCGAGCGGCTTTCATAACTGTACCATCGTCTGACCTTTCCTCTGCAGAAACCGAGCCTGATGAAACCGATCTGTCTAGAGCAATATCAAGCTGACGCCCGGAGTGAATCATATAAATCATTATCAGAAATGACAGATTGTTCTTTAAATGTCAGAGGAACCTTTGGAAATTCATGAGGATAAAATGATTTTTGGGTCAGCCGCGTGTACTGCAGTACGCCGTGTTTCGTTGCGAGCTCGAGTTTGGGGTCGACAGACCTGTTACTTCATCATCATCTGCTAGAGGGCGCTCTGGCGCTCTAGTGTTATTTGCCAGAATACAGTACATTTGAAGTGGAACGAGAAACGATAACATGATCTTGTACTTTACATAGCAGAACATCTGAGGAAGACTTGTTGACCTTATTGCAGTCATACGCCCAAGCAGAGGTTTAGGGTTTAGGCCTTCAGCACATTTATATGTGTTATAGCAGTTTTTATCGGACTTCCTTGTTGTGTGTTTTTATAAGACAAATCCAAGACAAAACAAAAAGAATACAAAGGCTAGAAATATTTGATGTATATATTAATGTAGGTATGACGTTTTAGAATATTCTTGTCATTGTTGGGTTTGATTTCTTTTCTTGTCTCTAATGCCCGACCATTTGCGAAATATATGAGTTGGGGGACGTTAATTACGTCGATGAAGGTCGACATCCCGGTAATAAGATACGCCAAAAAGCAGTTAGCTAGCAAGCAACTGGATTTTTTTTTTGGAAACGGTCAGACGTTAGCTAGCATCCACTAGCTTTTGTCAGTAACCGTTTCCAAAATCATATCCAGTTGATTGCCAGTAATTAACTGCTTTTTGTGGCGTAACGTTATAATAGAAATGTAGTTTTTTTGTCGGCTGGAAAGTTGCAGAAAACTAGGAAAGATTTTGGTGAATACATGAAACCAAAACAAGGAGGAAGTCTTCTACCTCCTTGGCCTTGCTTCAAATATCTCATCTCTTTCATAGAGCGTATGGTAATGATGGTGATGTTTCAGTACCTGTGTTAGCTGCTAAACGGCGCTTTTGTACTGCAAAATTCAACCCATATTACCCACAATCCACCGCTAAATCGTCCTCTTCTCCGGACGCCATATTTGTTAGAGGTACGTGAACACATCATACCCCTGAAATCCGACATAATCTCACCTTCTGCGAAGCCATCCGACCTCATCACACGAGACATTAACTAACTGACATATTTGTTTACCTCCCTGATGACTTTTGAATTGTGTACTGGACGTATAGTTCTTTTAAATGTTGTCAAAACAGAGTGTTTACCATCGGTCATATGTCCCTTCTTCATTCAGAACTTTTCCCTGCTGTTGTTGCTAGTTTTATTGCACTGACCTGAGTTCAATTATTAACGGCAAAGCCACAATGAAAAAGCTTCTCCCTTCAGTACGTGAGTTAGAGAGTTGTCAAAGGATAGAAGCGAAGAATTTTGACCCGTGCATATTTACCCCTGCCCCCCTCCCCACAAAGCCATGGAAAAGGATAGGTGGATGACTAATTTAAGTTGTAGCAAATCCTTTATAATCATGCACACGAGCCTTCTATTAAGCTTAACAAGTCATATGTATCATAGAGAAATTTATTAGATTATAGTGAGATTAATGACGATGATGAATCGATGGAGATCGTTTGTAAGCGTCTTGGAAATAAATTATTATACATGCGAGACGAAAATTTTATTAACATGATCGTGGGCATTTAACGATTAAAGAGAAGAAGAAGATTTCATCAAATTTGAAAGAGTCAAAGAAGGATAGTCAAAGATTTATTTTATGTCTACTTTGCTGTCGTTAGCTTGTACAGGATCCTGTACCCACTAGGTGGATCAACATGGCGAAGTCCAAGAACCACACCAACCATAACCAGAGTAAGTACTCAAAGCCTGGAAACAGGCTTCGAAATTCTTTTTTTTTTACCTGTACTGTTGCATGTAACATCGCAAATTGCCCCAACAGGGGCTATATGGGGGTGTAGCCGGGGCTTGTACAACATCTTAGAGCCCCGGCAAAGATGAAGCATGAAGATGAAATTACCTGCACCAGACAAGATCCACCTGCACCACACTTTTAACTAGCACGTTGGCAGAACGTATTGCACCTGTGTGAAACCGTATTGTATTGTATAGCAGAACGTCTCATATAAGGTTGTATTATGCATATCATATAATGTTAACGCTCCGTCTATAGTTTCTAAATGTTATGTCGGAAAAGATATCGTCTTCAACAAGCAAATTCTGATGCAACATTGACCAAACATCCAACGAAAACTGCCAAAAATCTGGGTTTCGCGCAGGCGCGGAATTTACTGACATGCTGTAAAACCCCAGTATGACCATGCAGGTTTGGTGCAGATAGATATCACAAAATTTGAAATACATGCACAGCTCCAAATATTATTTTACCTGCACTGAGCTGCATATGCAGATGGTATTTCTGAATAACCATACATGCGAGAATTTTAAGTATTCAGTTAACTTATACCGAAAGCAGGTCTATGATGGTACTGTACATTTACATTTTTTTTTTCATGTGAAAAAAAATTATAACTGTAAGTGCAAAGTGTTCTCCTCAGGTAAGGACTCAAGGAGACACGTGTACTATAAGTTTTGGTGCAAGCTTACACCATGTTCATTATGTTACAGACAAGAAGGCCCACAGAAATGGGATCAAGAAACCACGCCGCAACCGTTACGAGTCTCTGAAGGGGGTAAGTTGTCAGATTATGTTCAAAGATTTTACTGGTAAGTGTAGTACTGTCATCTCTAGTGCCTGTGTGTTGCTCACTCACTAGCACCACCTAGCAGAATGAAGCAAAACTGCAGCTAGTCTCCCTAAATTTTCAGAATAAGCAGGAGCAGATGCAGCTATATTGATGAAAGAAACTGTATCCATACATTCTGGGGGGTTTGGTAGTTACATGGTGGTTGACATCCTGGGTTATTGCAATGGTATGTTTTTTTTTTTTTTTCAGTTTTACTTTTAGAACCCAGCTGTAAGCTAGTGCTAGTCCTGAAATATTTATGAATGAATTATAGGATTTACTAACTTCAATATGTAGAAGTGTAGCTCTAGCATTGGATGTTACCAGTATACATGTACATGTGCAGCTCACCTGTTGTATCCTAGTTATTCTCTTTTAATAATTTACTTATGTGCAGAATGACAATATTTCCTTCCAGAATCTTTGTGCCGTCCCAAAGTTATCAAAACTTACGACCAGTATTTTCGCTTGAGAAATCAGACCCTTTTGTTATTCACACAATGTGAGTAGGCCTTTTACATCCCAACATGTTTTTTTTTTTTTCTTTTTTGCTAGCCTTTGTTATGTTTTAATTGCGCGTGGGCTTAGCAAGAGAACTCAGCAAAGGTCATCCCACAGAGACATGTGAAACTTTTGTCTAGGTGGGAGATTCAATTGCCGACAGCATTAAGGAAAATGTCAGAGAGGAAATTGAATATGTAAAACTCCATCCTGAAAGCCCTGAGCTATATGACTGATGTCTGATTGAAGTTAGATTTCACACAGAAGTCTTTTGAAGTATCCTTTACCAAGCTCTAGGGCATTGCGTACATGCCACGCTGTTTTAATTTTCTCCCAATAGACTTTATCAAAAGGTTTGCCAGCTTTCATTTCTGCTCTTTTATAAGGGGAATGTATCTACGCCCAGCCCAGGTGAGGGATAATATTAAAGCTTTACAGGTATTTCTGGTGTCTACCTGCACCTAACCTGCACTGGTCCATGAAAGTGTCTGCGGATTTTTATTTGAATTATTGACTGTTACAATCTATTAATCGTAAAAATAAAATTATGGTTTCTGAGTAGTTTCTAGCATGATCCATACTTCCTAAATTCTAAGTGGTGCAGCTAAATTTTGTCTGGTGCAGCTAATTGTCTAAGTTACATGTGCGAGTGCAAGTGCAAGTATGAGTTAAATTACACTTGCAGCTTGCACTAAAGGCATATCATATGTTGAAGCAATTTTTGATAAGTGCAGATTTGATGATATCATCCCATTTCCACCTCCCATGGCAATAAGACCTGTTTAGAATAAGACTTGCTTCCATCCATGACGCAATTTGTGGCAGACTTAAATAAGTGTGTGTCTTGTCACTAGGAGGCAAGACAATATGAGTTAATAAGCCCTGTGGCAATGACGCAAACTGAAGAAATTCTACGTCAAGCAGTGTTGTAAAAGGTCGAGTCAGAATCTCAGATGTATGGATCTGTAATGTGAGGGGGTGGGCAGATGCATTGATGTTCCGGTGTATAAGAGACAACATGTTGCGAGCACAGATGTTTGTAACATCCTGAGGCTGATGAAGAGCTTTGATAAAGTTACATTTTTCATAGAACTAGTCGGTTGTTGAAACAGCATGGAGAATTATTGGACTGTTCTCACTTGCTCTGTGCTCTACAATTTCAAAACATTTGGCTTGAAGTCTGGATGTGCCTGTATCTGTCTTCGGATAGAACTAGGATTTGAAATTGTTGACAGAATGAAGTAACAAAGTAATATGAAGTCAACAGTCCCAAAAACGTGAAGTCAACAATCGCAAAGATGTGAACAAATAATATTCGTTCCATTCAGCCTGGTTTGAATTTCTGGTTTCTTGCCATTCTTGGTGCTCCTCTTTATTTTCCTTTTTGTTTCTCAGCTGTATTCAAGAATAATGGCTTGGTTCTTTTTCTCTTCTACGATGAAACAGTTTGAAGTACATGGTAGTAACTGTACACCTTGACAGTATTGTATAGGGAATTGATGCTTGTACAGGCACACAACTGTATTGGAATTACACCTCTTGGCAAAGACTACAAGAAAGTTTGACATTCTTAGCTTAAAACTCATCAAGCAAAGTTCTCAGCTCTATTGGGCCTTTTGAATAGAGCTAGGAAGGAATTGCTTCACAAGAAATGCCAGTGAGAAATATAGCATGTGGCTACAATGAGAGGAAGTTTGGCCCAGATTAGGTCAGCTTGTGAAAAGAAGAAGATGAGTATTATGTAGCTGGGAGCCAAATGCAGGACCAAGTTTCACAACGACTTTACGCAAGTCTACGTCAGCCTTACGTCCACTGCTAATGCATCGACCACTTGTCGGGACTTGCGTGGGCGAAGAAGCCACTTGTGGCGTTGAATGTGTCCTTGATCTTTCCAGTGTGTGGGAAAAGTCAAGGGTATTTGGTCACACAGGCAGTGTAAGAATCTATAGCAGGGCTCAAAATACTAGTACTTGGTACTATCTTTTGGTTACAATGCAAAATTGCATGAGGGCAGAAAATATACAATTCAAAAAATCCTCATACTGAATAGAAGTTCAGTCTTCTCTTGATATACAGTACCACAAGATACATAAGAAAGTCTCCAACGTTAACGTGCTTATGACAGGGAAATTTTTACCTACTAGTTGGGGGCACCTGGAAGAAATGAGACGTGTGCCTGCAAAACTGATGAATTTCGATGTAGGCTTGAGAAAAATCATCAGGGAAAATGGGAAACACTCTACATTTTAAATTGAGTATAATTTTACTATAAAGGCAAAGGCAATACAGATGTGCCATTATTCCACAGTCTATAGGGAACATTTCATTTTCAACATGCAAAATTCCATCTTCAGAATATTTTTTCGTGCAAATCTTGAAAGTCACTTGCAAATAGCAAGTTGCATGTGGGTGTTTGGAGCCCTGTCAATAGGAACATTTTTCTGCAGTTCTCCAGTCTAATAGTTCACCATTTTACAGCTCAAGTGTGGTGCTCTCAGGCCTGAAGCCTGATGGAGCCACTTGCGGTGGAAGTAGTATGTAGTCCCTCCTCTTGAGTTGGCCACAGAGTGGCTGGGGGTAGAATTAAGGACGTCACGCCGTGTGACCAACTCCTGAGCCCACTGTACCGACTGACGCACAGTCTACTCAGGTGTTTTTCAGGAGTTTATTTCAGCAGTATAGACTCATAACTAAACTGAGATCACTTTGGGTGCTTCAACTTTTTAAGACACACTACTTAGTACTAAATGTAGTAAGCACTCCTAGTATTAATACAAAAATTAGACTGTGGAATATGTGTTCACATTTATTTCATCTTTGACAATCTAAAATTTACAAAATAGCCTAATTTCAGGCAACATACATCTATTCTGTATCCCCATGTTTCTACTTTTGTTTTAAAGTTGGCCAGGCGTGGTCTGGATATAGTTTGAGAAACTCTGCGGCAGAGTTTTCCTTTAGATGTAGTTTAGGATAAGAAACCCTTTTTATATGTACGCTTCATTCTCCAAGCTGCCCTGACCCGCCGAGTCCATGCCAAGTGTAAGTGGTTTTGTGTAAGTGATGTTTCCCAACAAAGCGAGGATGTTAAGACATGTCGGCTCCTCGGAGAAGCAGGCTTTTAACACAGGCCTGGCTCGTTAAGACTGCGCTGCCTTGGGATAAGCACCTGTGCTGTCTCTCTCGGCTCTCAGGTCATAAACACTGTCTAGACACTGCACTTGAACGTGAGCTGAACTTGAACGTGAGCTTGAACGTGAGCTGAAGGTATATTTGCACTGGGGGAAAAAGAATGGGGGTTTAGTGAACAGGGCTCAAAATACATTTTTTCTGCATACCTACACTGGTACACACCTACATACACATGTCCTAGATACCCACTCAGTGTTCTAGTCAGCCTTACTTTTTCTCTGTCATTTCAATTCCTATTTGTCATGTGGAGCAGGAGGATTTGAGCCAGAAGTGTGTGATGACCCTTTGGAAAATTTTCAAAATCTTGACCGTCTGAATCCCTATTCCTTGCATTTTGAGGGGCAAATTTTGCTGGTAGACTAAGCTTAGTTTTATGATATCTCTTTTTTTATTGTTTCCACACCAATTTTTGTCCTTTATGAGCAGCAAATTATGTCAAATGACGGAAAGATGGTGGAATCTGTAGATTCACTGTCCTCCAACACTGACACCTTTGATTGTAACTTGTATATGCAGAAGAAACATGAATGGCTCCCACCAAGCCTATGGGTGGCACCATGAATAAACCATTGCTTCCTGTAGCTGAAATTTAATAACCGCCCGGATGACCCATGGGAGCAGTCTGGGATGTGATTTCCGCTAGCATGTGAGATTTCATTACAGCAGGGGAAGCTGGTGTCCTGGGACGGAGTAAGTGCTATTAAATGTGGTCAGCGCGCTGAAAAGGCGGGCTAACTCGTGGAAAAGCCATTACCAGGTCCAACCTTGGGAGTAGTGGAAACATGTTAGTACACCTTACATAAGATACCATCAATGAAAGCTTTTTGGTGTGCATACAGGATCAATGGGTGCTACTATGGGTACCAATGCAAGTTGACACAAGTTGTAGCTCAGATGAAATTAACAGTCGACCCTTAACATGTGTATTCGGCGATGGCCATCAATAACTTTAATTGCAAGTGGACTGCAAAAGACATCCAATGCAGTTTCAGGGCAGCAAAACAAAAATGAAATACTCTGGATGAAAAAATCTGCCTGATATTGACATTGACTGCCATTTCTTATCACATTTTCATCGTCATTTCTTTCTTGAAGCCTTTGATTTTGAACTTAGTCATCTCTTTATTTTTGGGATACGACTTTTGCCACCCTGAAATTGCATTCTGCTGCAAACTACATTGTACCACTGAAATTCTCCCATGATTTTTTAAAAATGATGTTCAAAGCTTACTGTAGCGTCCAGTATAACACCAGACAAAATCCTCAGCATTACAACTGTGATAGATACTGTAGATAAATCTTTAATGACAATGTTACATACTCCGAATACTACACCTTGTGATATGCCTACACATTCAAGCTGGACTTTACACACACCCACACACACACAGAAATGACAGCATATTTCACCATTTCCTGTATTAAGCTAATCTGACTAAATATATTTGGCGGATTAGCTTAATACAGGAAATAATAAAAAAATCCAGAGCAGTACAAATTTGTACTGGAAGACACATAGACCTTGAATGAGTATTTGCCATACTTTATTAATGACTTCCGTCTAATCTAATCTAATAAAGCTTTTCGTTCCAAAATAGATTAACAGGTAACAAGCTTATTACAAGTCTGTATGTACATGTTTTTTATGGCCTTATGTCTCGCAAGGGATGAAGAGAATAAGTAAGTTAGTAAGTTTATTCATGCTGCCTGCCTGCACCACAGCAGTAAAGGTGATACCAGAAATTAGATGGAGCATATTTCAACAGGAGACGACCTTGTGAAATATTTATGGCGTACGTTAGTGCCGGGGAGATTACACCCTCTCTCGGGGTGTGCGGACCGGATATTACAGCACGGACCGCTATCGCGTTTCAGGGATGAATGCACAAGTGGGGCCCTGGAGTATTGGGAGCGTACTTGACATTCAAGTTATGGAGCTATAGATCCAAGGGTTCAGACATGTTGAATGGCGGGTTTTGTATCAACTTGGTTGTTAGTACATTCATGTAGGTAGATATGTTAACTGCAGGAATTTTAATCTTTACCCTACTGAAGTCCTCTTCATGTTCTAACATACATGAGCTCTTACTTAGTGCACACAACTATCCTAACACACCCTTCTTTAAATTAACCCTAGAGACCCCTTGTTAGCTTAACGTAGCCCCAAACTGCCAAAGCAGTGTTCTATCAAGCATCAGGCTTAACGTCATTTGACAAAAATTTGCCCAATCTGTTATCAGACAAAAATCGATGTGTAAAGATATGAAAAGACATGTCTACCAGCAAAATTTGCCTCTTTAAAATGCAGGAAGGGATGCCCCAGACTTGCTAGCAAAGTTGAGATGACAGAAAAAAAATTCAGGCTGGCTAGAACATCTCCAGACACCCTTCCCCCATGTTAAAGTAGGCCCGAAGACATTTAGTATATTAGTATACATCATGGTCAAAGATACTCCTGTCTTATCTCCGTCCTTGGCTGTAAGATTGTGGCTGGGAGCACATGTACTTCCTGACCTATCACAGTATCAGTACAGGGTGCAGGGGGTGAGACTAATTTGCCATCGCTGTGGTTTTCTCTTATCTAGCCTGTGGTAAGACTGGGCCACCAGCTGGCTCACGTTCAAGACTGACAAAGTAACCTTAATTACAAGAATGTCAAGTCAAGAGACGACAACACACAGTATGATGGTATTCCTGCATGATAATCTTATGCATATATCACAAATATGAAATGATGAAGAAAATGTGCTAAGAAATGGCAGTAAATGTTAATATCATTAGGCAGATTTCTTCATCCAGAATATTTTTTGTGTGTCACCGCGCTGAAATTACATTTGATTTGAATCACGGAGGCTTTGAAATTTTCTTGCAAAAAAAAGCCCTCTTCCTAGATGGAAACGTCATTTTTCAAACTTGTTCAAGGCTCTTTGGGATCTAGACTGAGCTTTACCATACAGGAGGTACAATTTGATGGCTTTACCTAAAGCTGTTAGTGAACTTCCTTCGAGATATCCTGAGCTTAAGTTACTAGGGAATGTAGTTACTTTTGGAAGTATGTTATCACCACTTCCTCTGAGTAATCTGTGGGACATTCCTCCCTGCAGTTGCCATGGTGACAGCCAATGAGGGCCAAGGTCTGTGTGATTTCCAACATCCTCTTGTGTTTATTTCGGTGAGAGGGCGGATGTGGCAGCTGTTGAGCTGGAGTGATGAGGAACAGACTGTACACTTGTTGTCCTTAACAGTAGAGCTGAAACAGTATTTTAGTAGGATTGTGCAGTTGTTGACAAGGGCTGTCTGCTATGTGAATTGACAAGACATTTACATGCAGTCAAACTTCAACTTGTCTAGGAAGACAGCCACCAAGGGAACCTACATGAATCTGGTCTTCTTAGACAAGTGGTCTTCTTAGTCTTACACAAAGCACATCAACACAAGATAAGACGGAGATTACAGAGTTCACATCCTATAGTAGACTGTTGCAATGACCCAGTGGGTGCCATCTTTGACCCATACTGACCATAGTCACCCATACTCAAAACTGGCCAATTTTACCATAAATTTCTCGCTAATCATCAAAAATCATCTAATCATCAAAAATCATTATGCTTCAATAATGCGATCATTAAAGGCAGGGATTAGGCCATGTTCGGCCCTAAATAGTGCCAGCCGTGGTCATGTTAGACATTGTGGTCGGCTTAGGCAAGTCACCTATGTCTATGGGGAGAACTTTCAGGACTGAGGAAAAGCTGTCTGTTATGGCCACATGGTCAGCTTATAGAGGTGGTTGCTTCAGCAAGTTTGACTGTATTTCATTTAGCATTAATTAGATATGTTCCCTTCTTATCTCTGACCAATTTGTTCTCCCTTGGTAGTTCTCACAGAGGATATGTTGTCCTGAAATGTCCTCATTTGGAAGGCACAGAATGCGGGACTTGATCTAACAATCTACACTAAGGAAAGGAAGAATGCACTTTTGATATGCAGATTTGTTGCCATTTTCGTCATGATATTGCTTCAAATTATTTATTATCATCTATAGAAATAGATAACAATAGTGGCAAGTAAGGCAGCAATCATAACTCATGTCTCTTATTTCATGTGGCACAGAACTGTGCCAAGCACATAAGTATTCTGATAAAATTGGATGGGGCACTTTCTTTTATGGTTTGCCACAATTTGCCAGGGCTTGACACCAAATCCTCTACCAGCCTTTATCCAACATCCTTTAGACTAAACACTTAACAAACTAAGGGAACAACTACGTGCGATATATGAGAGTCCTTTTTTTTTCATAGCAAACTGTTACACAAAAGCCAGATTGTCAGACATGAGCACTGATCTACTATTACAAATACAGCTCAAGTGTTGCAGTGAAAAGTTTTCAGTACAAGCTTAGATTCCCGAGTGGTTTCTGGGCTTTCAAATGTTTTCTATGCACAGTATGTACTCTTTACAGCTAACTGACCTTTGAGTTCCAGTGTTCTATACTGTTCCAGTGACTGGTGTTTGTTATCTGCTAGTTGCAGGCTTGGAGTGCTCACGACATGCAAAGAGAATTCCTCTCAATACTCATGTATACCTTTCTTATCTTGCTCTGCCCTTGCAGGTTGACCCCAAGTTCTTGAGGAACATGCGGTTTGCTAAGAAGCACAACAAGAGACACCCAAAGCCCAAGGAGTAAGCTCCCCCGGGCGGTATCCATCCATAAGACGAACTATCCGACCCTCTCGTCTGACCTCCGTTGACCGTGATTGTGTAACATCTGGATGGACGTGGACTGTATCAATACAGGGACACTTTCTGTGGTGTCGCACCTTCTTGTGATCTTTTCCCTCGGTCAACAGCCAAGGGAAAGGAAACAGTAAAAGATGTCACATCCGATCCACTGTGTGGCTGTGCTTCCTTTCAATATTGACTTGCTGTCTTGTCTGTTTTTGTTGTTGTTGGTTCAGTGTCAAGAGACAGTGAAAATGGTGGCAGGGTTCTCACTTTTAAGCTTCTAGAGGAGAACCTTGTGACCCTTCAAAAATCTATAAAACAAGTAAAATTTGTCTTAAAATGCAGCTATAGCAGAGAAAGAACATAATCTACAGTTTCATTTTATTTCTCTCCCAAGCATGCCCATGATTTTCTCTGCCATCCTCTAGCATTTGCATTTATTGAAAATATGTCAGTACATTACACAGGTCAGCAAAGATTGCCACAGACATACAGGCAGCAATCAAATATGAATACAGCATAAGTAAATAATTAGAGGTTCTCCCGAAATGCGGTTTGAGTCTATGGCAACAAACCATAACAGAGCGCTGACTGCTGGTACAACTCATCCCTGTATGGTGGGTGGTGTAGGTTTACCCCTGGTATGATGCAGGTTGGAATGTCGGGTGGGACGTCAGCCAGAATGACAGGCCGCATATGGAACAACACGGCCAGGAAACAGGTTCCCCAGCCAGGCTGGACATAGTTCCCCATTTGTACACTCCCATTCTTGCTGAGTTATGGTAACCCAGATTTTAACAGTGCACCCTTGGTCAAGGTCTTGTATGAACAAGGCTGTGTGCCCAACACGTGTGGGAATGTGATTGGAGCAGCCTTGCTTCTGTTGCTGCACTGCCAAAAGTCATAAAATTGATTTAGACCTTTCCTCTTTAATAATGTGTACAGCATGCATGTACACGGCTTTTACTTTTGATCAAGAAATGCCTGACTCTAAATTACGTTTCGCACAGCTATTGATCGCGACTTGTGTGTCTGCAGGTGGGATTCGCGATATGACTGTATACAGGTACTTTGTACTGCACTAGGATAAAAGTTAAAGGGTAAACCATCCTACAAGCAAGGGAGCAACAACCTCTGGTGGAAAAGTACCCACAGGATGGGCTGTGCATTATTCCTCACACCATCTTAAGGTCTTAACCCACTGGTTCTTATGACAGCGTAATGGCCTTCCTTGCCTTTATCCTTCAGACCTGAGAGCAAAAAGCAGAGAGGTTGTTACCGAAATCCCACTCTAACCAAGCCTTGATCTTGTAACTGCCATCCAGGTCCCCAGTAGGCAGATATTAGAACCAGGTTTTTGCATGTAATGGCACGTAATGGCAAACAATGCCAAGTTTCTCTTTAATGTTCTGCCAAACCGGCTAGCAATCCTCCAGCGGTGCCATCTTCCAGTGCCACCCCGTCAGACCTCTGGATCATCTTCTTATAAACAGAGAGATCGCGTCAGTGCACCGTGCTGTCACACTGGGACCCAGCCAGGAATGTACCAGGCTTTGGGCTTAACACAGGAAAACTTAGAACACTTTCATGTTTTATCAGTATGATTTTACACTTTAAGACTACTCTCTTTAGGTGGATGGATGTACCCAAAGGGTAATAAAGTGACGGCAGGTAAAGGCATCCAATACAATTTTAGGGTGGCAATATTTTTTTTTTCTTTTGCCACTGTGAAATTGCATTGGATGCCATTAAAGGTGAGACACAGTTCAGGAAGGACTAAAACTGGAAAAGGGAAAGCTTCACTGTGAAATTATACTAAAACCCAGTACTGGTAGATATGATATCTGGCCTTGCTAACCCTGCGGTCAGATTTTAATGTTTTTTGATTACTCATTATTTGACCTCTTAAGAAATTTCTACATTCAGTACGATATGTATGCATGGAATCCCCAGAAATGCAGGAAAACCTTGTCAACACCCTACGTAACTGCACATGTCGGAGTCACTGGTGACCTTTGAATCAACTGATGACGCAACAGGATGCTAACTTCACTGAGGACAAGGGCACTCTGCTTCCCTGCAGTCTGTTTCCATGGCAACAGCCAATAGAACATCTGCCTCTTTTTATATCATGGTTGTACATCACATGTAGGAACATGTGAGTCAGAACTATAAGAATGTGTATACTGTTGAAAGTGGCAAGAGTTACAAGAGACTGTAAAGTAAGATCAGATGCAGACAGCTTATCCATTGTTGCCATGGCAGCACTAAGCACCATGTATAAACATCCCACCCGTGTGTTATACTTAAATACTTCCTGCAGTGACAGCCTGTATAACATTGGGAAAGTAGTATGTATCCACCAGACTAACAATGCGGGTTTAAAAACGGTAAAACGTAGCCGAATACAGAGTTTGCCTAGCCTGGGTACCATCCGGATTTTCGCTACGCAACGCTTGAAAGAATCAAGTGATTTTTTCAAGCGTTGCGTAGCGAAAATCCGGATGGTACCCAGGCTAGAGTTTGGCCACTGTTGAGTTCATTTGACCTTTCCACAGACTGACACTCTGGTCAATTCTTGTTCCCTTTCTTTCATAGGAAGGCCTGCTGGTTGAAGCTATGGGGAAAGTGCTCTGGAGAAACTTGTCCACCAGGCAAGCAGAATAGGGCAGGAAACCATAGTGTGTGACAGTTCAACTCTGTGGGTTTGGTTATTTGGTCCCACTTCCCTTCCACGAGCTTCCTCAGGAACATACGGACATGGATACTAGCCAGACAGGCAAACCTCGCATCCTATGTAATTTCAGAGAGGCAATCCAAAAAAAATATTGTGGACGATGAAATCTGTCAGATATTGTCATTTACTGCCATTTCTTATCACATTTTTGTCTTCATTTCATAGGTGAAGTGTTTGAAACAGCTCAAAATGAGTGCCTTTATTTTATGATGCCACCAATAAATAGCAAGAACCTGCCTAAAATATGAACCAAGAAACCGTTTTCTGTCAGCGACATCTCATTTTTGCCTCATAGATATCAGTATGCTATTAGAGTTGATTTGACTTACTACTTCAAGTTACTACTTTGCCCTGAAATCATTTCAGGAAGGATGAATGATTGAATGCAAAGATGGTACAATGTTGGTAATCAGAAGTGAATATTGTAACATCCTCTCTGTGAGGAATTACTACCCAGATGTGAATGCGGGCGGCGTGTTGTTGACTTTGGGAATGCCCCGAGGAAGTTACACAAGGAAGTGCCTGGTGCTTCCCAATGTTTACTGGCAGCATTCCACGTTACTAAGGAAGCTTACAGTTGTCAGAAGATGTGGGTGAAGTACGTTCTGACAGGTGCCTTCGCTTAACTTACCGCATCTCCCTCGGGGAACGTGTCAAAAGTTCAGACATTCCAGCTTGTTGACTCACATGCTTCGAGTTCCTCCGCCGAAGTTTTGCGTGTTCACTTTTCCCGCTTTTGGCATTTTGTTTAGATCAAGTAAGAGTAATTGGATTAAGTGTAATGGTGACTATCTCAATGATTTTAAATGGATGCTTAAATTTCTTTCAAATCCTCCTTAATACACTGTGACCTGTCTCAACCTACATAAGCCACTTGTTAAAAGTAAAAGGTGATAGTGCTTTTATTTAGAAGTCTTAATAAATGTTGCAAATCACACATTTTGTTATACCCCAATTAAAAATGGGGAATGTGTAAAATACTGAAAGTTCCCCATGCACGCCAAAGGTATTGTAGGCATTTTATGTTTCCCATGTATGACTGGCCCATTACATCTCAACAGCCTGGATGCCAGACTCATAGCGTGCTAGGATCAAAGTTAAAGGATCGGAACAGAGTTATAATTTCCTTGGGGGCATGTTATCCCTGGGGCTGAGGAGCTGGCCTGTGTAGTGTGGAAGCCCTAGAAACAGTCTGGCACCCAGACTATCTCAGCAGACTTGTGTCTGCCCAAAAGCTTGACTTGTGCCCCTTGAGTTGAGCTGGAATGTGTAGTTCTTTTGTAGTTTTCACTGGCCATCTTACCACTGGCTTTCGCAGGAGTTACGACATTACTAGCTAAAGCCTAGACTTCTGTGTTACTGGCAATTAAAACCTGTCTCTTTGCTGAACTTGAATGTACAGGAAATGATGCCAAGCCTGGGTTTTACCTTTGATGGTATGATTGGCTGAAAAAGATGATGTCACATCTAACCTACTCCTAAAAGCCCCTGTCACGCATAGCCGAATTTGGACCCTGTTGAAGTTGGATACATCTTAGAGTCTTACAGATGTACATGATTGTGCAAGGTCACTAGTTACAGTACAGTGTTTTCTTCTTTCCAAAGTGAAGATAACGTTAGGCCAAATCAGAAATAAATGGAAGAGAAGGACTTGCTTAAATTGCTGTGGCCTTACACCAACTTATAAGTTATATTACCAACAACACATTACGTTCTTAGAAGTTGGAGTTGTGGTGGCCTGACGAGGGAATGTAGGAGTGTTCTGTCAGAGTTGTGAGCTGTGTAGCATGTAGCATGGCAGGAATGCTGCTATAGTACACAGGCTTGTCCACAAAGTACACACTAAGGGCACATGTCAGAAAGACATTTTGGTTTTCAAACCAAAGACATGCTCTCAATTGTGTAGGGCAGTGTTCTAGCCAGCGTCTGTCTGTCATTTGACAGAATTTTGTTGCTCATGACAGGCAAAAATTTTGCCCAATCCATCATCTTTGACAGACAAAACTAATCATGTGAAGATATGGAAAGAGTTTGTCATTAAAAGTTAGTCTACCAGCAAAATTTGTTTAAAAAATATATGACAGTTAATGACAGATCAGCTACAGGGTCTTCAGAATAGCCCCGCATATTTATGCTACACAATTCACTCCGGAAAAGCCAAGAATTTGGTGCCTTTTTTTGATGCAACAATTTGCCAGCCCCATTACATCAACTCTTCAAAGGGTTTTAACGTAAAAGAGTGCAGCTTTCCATGCCTTAGCATCTTATTCTGTCGTGCTAAATCCAGGATGTCCCTTTTCCGTGCTTTTCATGTAGGATCTGCTGTGTTTGGAATTACTGCATTAACATTCTTCTGTCCTGATATACAAGCCGAGTCAGAAGCCATTGTACTGTCATTGGGTTCAGATGGTGTTGCAACTCGCAA